AACTCCCCCTCCCAACCTCAAAGTTTCTACACCTGTTTTCCTAACCCTGGATATTTGGTGACCTCCACCTCCCAGAATCCCCCAGCCAGCCTTGCTGGCTGGGGAATTCTGGGAGTTGAAGTCCATATATCTTAGAGTTGCTAAGGTTGAGAAACAGTTCTAGACTTTTGTTTCAAGGGTGTCAAACCTGCTTCAAAGCCTGCAGCTCCCTTGAGACACCCTCCTTGTCTCATTGAGAAGGAGTTGCCTTTTGTCCCTGTCCTCCCATCCTTACCTTTGCAGCATTAGTGGCCGGAGCACGATACCGATCCAACGTGTGGAATTTCTGATTCAACTCGTGGTAGAGTTCTGAGTGGCGTTTCTTTGTGTGCATAACTTTCTGCAAATGTTCACAGCAATAATCCCCGAGATGAGAGGAGGGAGACAGAAGAGAAAAGAGAGGTCACCAGAGGCTGTTTGGGTAGAGGAGTTCTTTCCCTCACATCTACTCACCCAACATTTGTGGCTAAAATGGCAGAAGAATCGAGTGGAGGAGCTTTCTTCATACCCCCTTGAAACTTAGCTCAGCCACCATCCTTCTAGACAAGGTGAAGTCCCTCTTCTCTGCTATAGGGTGCTTATGAAAAATGGTCAGGGCACTTACAATGGGCAAACAACCCCCAAAGTATTTTTCTGGAGGCAAAGGTCCTCTTTTTCAGGCCAAGAAGGGTTCTCCTGGTGCAGTTGTCACCTACTCTGTGCATCAACTGCCATCAACTCAGTTGTGGCCAACCTTCCTCCAATTCTCTGAATTCAAGCGAAAGTGGAAATCTGAAGAGTGGGTCAAAGAAATTAAGACAGTGCTGTGTCTGAAGGCTCACCCCTTATGCGTGTCTTGCAGGGCACATAAACAAGAGGTGGGATTTGGGTTGCATGGTCACAGCGCCATCTTGACTTTTTTTACCTTCCCAGCAGACGCCTCTGCTTCTAGAGAAGTATGGGACAACAAAACCTGGCACCTAGGTCTAGAAAGTGATGTGGTGTTTAAGGGGCTAATCTTCACTGAGATTCACATGTGTGCACGCGCATACACATACATGGAAATTCAACAAAAAGTACCTATTGGGGAAATGATTGTATTTGCAAATATGGAGCTGGGAAGCATAGTCTGTATCAGTGTTTCTCAGCCTTGGAAACTTGAAGAGGTGGGGATTTCAGCTCCCAGAATTCCCCAGCCAGCCATGCTGGCTGGGGAATTCTGGGAGATGAAGTCCACACCTCTTCAAGTTGCCAAGGTTGAGAAACACTGCTTATAGGCTGAAATAAAAATCATTTAAAAAAATTCTACAGAAACTCTTGCTTCACTAAGCAACTCTCTTAGTGACACACACTGGATTTGGCTAAATTACACCACGAGCGGACTTGATATTGTTTGGGGTTAAATTGACTCCTCCTAATCAAGCAATATTATCAAGCTGACCAGTGACTACCAGACTCTTATCTCTCCTGTGATGCCTCCTAGAGATGTGCTAAGCTAGGGCCGCCCAAGAGTGTCATTGGTATGACTTTGCCTTTCCCCATGCCGCAGCCAAGCATGATGGGTGGGAGGGTTAACTCTCTCCCATGCCTGAAACTGTCCTTTCTCCAGTCTTTTCAACAGCCCCCAAGTCCCTTCATTGTAATCCTTCCCTTTCCTACCAATGAGTTCTTTTGTGCCTTTTCCTCACTATATACATAGTCTCTCATGTCAAGCTTTAAAAAAAAAAGAAATCTGGAGTTGGGTTGGACAGCTGTTTCCTCCAGCCAGTTTTGAATGGTGATGAGGGCTATTTAGTGGATTCCAGATTGGTTGAGGAACCCCCACGGATCATGGCAGCCGTTGCTTATTATTTCTGGGAGTAACCAACCCAGCAGAACTTTCCCAGGCTCTTGTATTATGGATTCCCAACAGTGGGGTAGCACGAGCTGAAAATAATTGGACAGCAGCTAGGAAGCAAAATAGGTCCGCCTAGTCAAAGAGAAATGCTATTTAAATACACAAATGACTGGCCCTGAGGGTATCTTGGGAGAAGACAGAAGCAGAATGGTAGCTTTTAACCAATCTGTGGAGAATTTGAGAAAGGGACTATCGCCAGGGGGCAGTACATCCTCTTGAGCTTCCTAAGTTTCTGGTAAAATGGGGTCTGAACCCCTGAAGATCTAACAAAACTTGCAAGAAGACTGGGATGTGAAGGCAAACATGCCCTTGAACTGTATTTACTCTTCCCCTTTCTTCCAGCATCCCTAACTGTGGCCAAATCCAGTTTCATCAGGCTGGGCTTCCTCTGTCAGACTAGTCTATTGTACTGGTGCAGATGAAGGACCAATGGTCTGGGGCTCCTTCTCCTTGAACTGCTTCCATCTTGTTTTGTCATGACGAGAAGGACAATGCAGGTGCATTACAGCTGGCCATTATAAAAGTCAAAGATTGGGCTCAGCATGTTCTTGTCCTCCTCTCCCCTGCCCATCAAATTTTCTTCTTGTGCTCTGTCTTTTCAGACTGCAAACCTGAAGGTTACAGGGATTATCTCTTTCCTCTTTTTTTTTTTTTTTTAAAAACTACACTTGTCTATAAACTACTCAGAGACCTTTTCCAATCAGAATGGGGCAGCAATGCTTTTAATAGATAGATAAGAACCAAGAACAAAACCTGAGTCGACCCATTCAAGGAGGTCCATGATGTTTCATGAGGCGACATGGCCTGAAACCAGAAACCTAGACTTGGGGATGGCCTTGCAGAAGCTGGAAAACTAAATTTTTCCAAAGGGCCCTTGGGATTGATTGATCGCCATCAGTACTTTGGGAATTGTGTACCCATGGTTGGTATCATCTGGTTTTATTTTACTTTTATAACATTGCATTTTGTGTTACACCATTATGGGGTTCAGTGGGCATTCTTCACTGTGGATGTTGTACTGTGCCCTTTTTGTTGTAGGCTGAAGGAAGTCTGGAAGGATCCAGGCACACACAAATGTAATAAATAAGTAAACAAATCAATCAATAAACAGATGTTCCAGAACCCTGCCAACATAACACCCATCACAAAGCATAACCAATCAGCAGAGTGGTAGCACATCGCAGCACAGAACATATGGAAAAGTGGCCGTTAGGAACTCGTGCAAGTCTGAGAGAGCCACTACCCTCCTCTGCTCCATCACGAGGGATGTGTGAGGGTTTTATCATGGCAATCTGGAAGAGGAAGAAGGATGCACACAATTGGCATGCG